TCCTGATCTGGATCCACCAAGGAATCCGGTGGCCCAAGGCTGTCCTTTGCAGTTTGGTGTGACATCTGTCACCTCTTGCTGCTACAAGCCTCTGCCCTACAGCATTGTGGGAATGCCCGGGGCTGCTGTTACCCCCAGGGACCCCACCTGCAGCTCTGTCTGCTTCTCTGTGTGGTGGTGGCTGAAGCCTCACTCAAAGCTCCTGGGCTCGTTCCTGCACCACTGGTAGTAGGCAGGAACCTTTCCTTGTGGTGGGACGCTGGTGTCTGAGCTACCCCTCCTGCACTGGGGAAGAAAGTACTGGAGGAAGGCTATAACCTGCCAAGGGCATCCAGTGCTACATCTCTGTACAGGAGATGTAGGCATTTTCTGAACTAATACCCCATGGTCTGGGTTGGGCTTTTTTATTTTGCTGGACTTGACACCAATATGTGTTGAGGACCAGGGGAGTCTGGGCTCCTCCAAGTCAAGCTGACTCTATTTGCATCCTTACCCCTCGCAGGTGCTGCTCTTCACACTTTCACCCTGGGGATCACCTATCCACCAGCTCCTGCTGCTCTCGCCTCCACCTCCCACCTCTCCCTGTTGTTGTGATGGAGGAGGACGTTTGCCCCTTGGGCCCCTGTGCAAATAAGCAGCAGCTCTCCTCTGCCAGCTGGCTTGATGGATCCCACCTGGCATTTCCACCCAGCTCGGCAGGATGCTCTCATGCTTGGGTCTGGCTCTGCAGCTATCTGTGCTTTCTTGGCAGCAGAGCCTGCCTTCACGCCCCTCTGCCTCCCTGGGACTGTCTAACGCTCTGCCCGAGCCGAAACACACAGCACCATGCCTGCTGCTCCACCAAAGTGTGGTGCTCCATTGAAGCCCGAAGACACAGCACTGTCAGACTAATTCGTGATAAATAAGCTGCTTGTTATCACCTGGGGGCTCCAGGTTCCTGGGAGGCTGGTGGGGGAGCAGGGAGCTTCTCCAACCATTGGGTGGGGGAGGGTGAGATGTCTGCTGGCACCCGCCTCAGAGAAGGATGCAGGAGGTGCAGTGACTCAGACCCGCTCTGCTGCTCAGCCCATCGCTCAAGCAAGGGGGCTTTCTGCTTCCTACGAGGCCTCATGGCCAGGAAATAGCTCCTGCTTTCCAGCCACACTTCTGATCCCTCTTGCAGAGCCTGGGGAGCTCAGTGCAAGGCTGCTCTCGCATCAGCAACAGCCGAAAACAACACCTAAGGTGGGATTTACTGCCACATATGTGCTGGGAAGGTGCAGGGACCAGTTGCGCCCAGCTGATGTATTGGATTTCAGGTTATGCGATGCACAGGTCTCTCTGAGCGTTGTAATTCCCTCTTTCTTCCTGTATGGATTTATACTGCTAAGTGGATGGATTTTCTGCTTGGCAAGGATGCTCCCCTGGGACCTTCCCCAGTTAGAAACATCTCCGCACATCTGTACGTAATATTGCCGGGGCACTTCACGAGTGGGCTTTTATGACACCCCTTGCTTTATGGACTGCTGCTTAATCTGGCCAGGCACCGCAGAGGAGCTGACGAACAGCATCCCGGAGCTGGCAGCAGGCTGCATGCCAGCTGCTGGTGCTGGAGGGTGCCTGGGGCTGTGTGCGACAGCCACTGCTCTTGGATGGCTTCTCATACAGCTGCCCTGGGCAGTGGGAGCACCGCTCCCTTGGTCCCTGAAACAGCTTGAGAGGGACAGGTTTCCTCTGCTTAATAACCTGTGACAGCATGCCTCCGGACCAGGCGTGGAGATCCTGGGTGGAGATGAAGGCAATCTGTCTGTCTGGGATGCTTCCCCCAGGCAAGGGCTGGGCCTGACATTTTCATTGCTGCTAAGAGCTGTCCCTTCCCCCTGCCCCAAAGAGCCATCTGCTATGGTAGATTACCCTGGCTTTTAGCGCTGTGAATCCATAATTAGTGCATAATTAATTACCAGATGTTTTTAACACTAATGAAACATTAATAAATGATGGAGGCATGTTGTCTGGTAATGGAACATTAACCAGTGAACCAAGCCAGCACGTGGGGCAGCGCTGCTGCCGGCCCGGCCAAGCTGGAGGCAGGGTTGCACAGTACTGAGCTCTCCTCTAATAAAGTCTCGGCATGGCGAAAATCATAGCAAGTGCCTGGTGGGAGCTAGTGACCAGCTTGGTGCTGCCTTCAGGCTCTGCAGAGCCAGGGCCGTGGCTACTTCGTCTCCATCCACCCATCCATCCATCCGTCCATCCACCCACCCGTTTCCCAGCTGGAGAGACCCTGTTGGTGCACTGGGCAGGCAATTTGTTTAAAAAAACAAGCTTTTTTTCCCCTGGGATGAACTGCAGCTCGATGACATCTCTGCTGCAGTTGGTGCTCACAAGCAAGGCACATGGGGAGAGGCCAGACCCCGACTCAGCATGCTTTGCTGCACCCGCTGCCCCTGCGCTGGATCCATGGGAGCCCTGCCCTGATGGAAGTTTAATTCAAAGCATCTGGGCCAGTGGCATTTTCCTAACGTGAAATTATTAATCAGACAAGGAAAGTGCATTAATTGGGACTACGTGTCATCTCCAGGCTGCAGTGTGGCGCAGGCAGGTCTGCCTGCCTCCTGCCTCCGTGAGACGTGTCAGGGTGGAGCCAGAGCTCGGGGATACATGGGATCCCCAAGGGCCTGTGAATGGGGACACGTGGCACCTCCCCATCACAGCACGGGTGCCATACGGGGTGGTGACAGCCATCCTCTTTACATCACCAGGGGTTTCCAGGGGTGGGCATCCCCTTGCACCTTCTCAGGATGTCCCGAAGGGCAGTTTTTGGGTCCCCCTACCCCCTGGGGACATGATACTATGGGCTCAAGCCCTGGGGCAGGCTCCAGGGTGTCTGTGTCCCCCTCACTGCCATCCCCAGGGCCTCCCCATCATAGCCAGCACCACGCGTGGGAGTGGGCCGCCAAACCCACCCACTCCAGCCAGAAGGGAAATAACACCCAGAGCTGCCAGTCATCATGAAATGATCATTTAATGAAGACAGTCTCTCCTGGTGCATGTGTGTGTGCGTGTGTGCGTTGTCTCTGTGTAGGCTTTATTTTTATCCCCTCTATTACTTTTTTTTTTTGATTTTTTTTTTTATATATATACATCTATAAAAAATTCAAATACAGCATGTCAACAGTGGGAATACTAGGACGTACGGTATTAAATACTGCGCTTGGGTCCAGGCAGGGGCAAGAGGAGGTGTCTTTACAAAACAGGGCTTGGGGCAGGATGGGGAGGAGAGCAGAGCAGGCACGGGGACAGCCAGGGACAGCGGGGGACAGCGGGGGACAGGTCTGCAGGGCTCCAGCTCTAAAGGCAACAGCAGAGCTATTCTGCTTTTGTTGGAGAATGAGACAAACGTCAATGGGGGTGATTCCCTGTATCCAACGTGGTTAAAAGTTTGGGGGTGATGTGGGGATGGGGTTGGAAGTGGCGAAGGCTCCCTCGGGGTGCTGCGGGGGGGGAGCCAGAGGGTCAGCTCTCCCAGGTGCTCGGCAAGGGGCAGGGGGGTTTTATCGGTGTTTCATTCCCTTTTTTTTTTCCATTACAACCCTGCCAGCTCCCTGCTCCCCACCACACTTGTGAAAGCCACCAGTTCTTCCCTCCATCATCCCCTCGGAGAGGACCAAGACCCCCCACCCGTGCACCCCTCCAGCTTCGCCACGCGGTCAAGAGCTAGGGGGAGCGAGTCCGGTCCTTGGTGGACCCCCATTTGCTGTAGGGGGGTACACAGCTGGGAGCATCATTCCCCTCACCACCACCCCCATTTTCATATCCCCTTTTCTCGGTGCACCATCCTGCTCCCTGTCACCCGGCTGGGTGGCGGGGCGGCGGGCACGTCTTTGGCGTGGGGGGGTTAGCTGTATGAGCGGGGTCCTCGGCTCCGGCGTGGTGCCCGGGCTCGCTTCGCCTTGCTGAGGAAACGGGGACGGGGATGGGGGTGACAAGTGCGTCTCCTCGCTCCGGGCTGGGAGAGGATTTCGCGGCTCCCCAGGGGACGGCAGCGGGTCTGCCCTGGGCTGGGACGGACGGGCAGACGGGCATCTGCAAGCAGGGAGGAGAAGGGTCACTGGTCCTGCTCAGGGCTCGGCTGTGGCTGGCCACTGAAGGGACACACTGAGCAGAATTTGGTCTTTCTCCATGGGGAAATTCACCCCTTCCCAGAACCTGGGTGCCCAAACACATCCCCTCCACCTCCTCCTCCCAGGGCCAGACCCTGCCCACCCACCCCTGGCTGTGTGCCACCGCCTCTCCCATTGCCACCGCTAAGATCACACATGGAGGTGACACAGCCGGAGGGGAGCAAAGGACCCAACACCCAGGGGAGCTGCCTTCTGATGGCTCCTTCTTGGGCACCAAAGGACAGGTGGCACATCCTTTATCCCCCAAAGTGACACAGGAGGCTGCCGTCAGGGTCGATCCCCCAGTCTTCGGGCAGCATGGGCGCAGGGGAAGGGCACAGGGGGACCCAGTGAGAGAACAGCGCTGGCCCGGGAAGGGATGGGGCGTTCTGGGGCTCTCCAGGCTGCCAGCTCCATTCTAAGACAGGCCAAGGACATTTTTGAGATGCATCTTTGAATTATCTGATGTTGGACAATTTTGCTTCCATCCCTATGCAGAGGCCTTAGATGTCCATGTGGTTTCTTTGCCTCTTAAAACATCAGCAGTGGGGAGCAGGGAGGGCTGCTGAGAACGAGGCGTTGAAGACCGACCCCTTTGCAGGCTTTGCAGAAAATACTTGAAAAGCCATTTTTTGAGATCTTCACCAGAACACCCAACTTGGAAAAGCAGCCAGATTTGGTGCATTTACAAAAATCTGCAAGAAAAACCCAGATGGCTCCTTCTCAACGCCCTTCACACAGAGCCTGGCTGGAGCATCCCCTTCCCAACCACACTGGAGCCCCTGGGGTCCCCAAGCCCCTGCCCCCTCTCAGCACCCACACCCTGTCTCTCACGTCCTCCTGTTTAGGGGATACTCACTAAATAAACAGGACACCATAGGCAGCCAAGACCAGTCCAGCTGTCCAACACACTGCCACGGCCCCGCTGCCCACCACGGCCCCCTTGTCGCAGATCTTGGTGGTGGGGGGCGGCATGAAAGAGGAGGTGCTAGCGCTCGTTGTCTCTGCAGGGAGGGAGAGAGTGGATGGGGGGGGGGGTCTCTGCAGGGAGGGAGAGAGTGGATGGCGAGGGGAGCTGGGATGCCCTGGGATGCATCCCACAGGGGCAGCCCTGCTCACCTGCCAGTAGGGACACTGCACCGTCCTGTCCCCAGATTGCCCCTCTCACTGCCATGCTGTGCTAAGGCTGAGCTAGGGGGCTGGGATGATGAGCTAGGGGATGGTGTAGTCCATGAGACTTTCCCTGTTCTAACACTGGACCTACTTCTCCAAGATGCTTCCACCACCTGGCAGATCTGGGCATCTCTCCTGGCCGCATCCTGCCCAGCCAGGCTGCTCTGTGCATCAGCTCTGCGGGAATTCTGGCTAAGAGGTCATGACGACACGGCCACAAGTGCTCAGCAGAGAGCATCCATCACCGAGGGAACGCCCTACACATGGCTGCGGCTGCTGGGCTGGCTTGCATGGCTTGTCCTCCTCTGTATGGGACCAGCTGGGGTGTCTGTCCCCACAGAGGGCTGCAGGATTGCAGGGAGGGCACGGATGGGCAGACAGGCTGAGGCAGCTTCAGTCACATCCAGAGGGTCCCAAGGTGCCTCCGGCCACACAGTCTTGGGGGGATGCTGGGGGTCACAGGGCATCTGTCTCTGCGTCTTTCAGACCCCACCAAGGTGCCATGGCAAGGCTCAGTCCCAGAGCCATGGTGTCACACATCAGCCCTGCATGGCTGCAGCCAGCTGCATGCACAGGGACAGGTGTGCGAGGGACACACGTGTGAGGGACACGTGTGTGCCTGCACAGGGAGCAGGCAAGTGCCATTTGAAGTGGTATTTGCATTTAGCACGATGCAGGCGGGTATAGAAGCAAACCCCAAACTCTGACACCAGCATGGTGTGCCTGTACTCGTTGTGGGGATTTATCCCCCTAGGGATGAGGGGCTGCAAATCCCTGGTGATGCCTGCATCCCCAGGTGCTCTGCTGGGTGCTGTTTCTGCAAGGCGGGGCGTCTCTGTGTAGAAAGGACTTCCACCCGCTGGCAGCGGGGCTTGCACCCACCGCATCCCCATGCAGGGAGCATCGCCAGGGCCTGCAGAGGTTTGTGCATGGCTCTGGCAGCGCACGGCTTGCACGCACGTGCTGGGATCTACACGCTCAGCTTGGAGGGTGGGGGGGCTGAGCACTCCCCCTCCCCACATGCACATCAGGCCAGCTCACAAGCACGACCCTGATGTATGCCAGCCGGGAACCAGCGCAGGGTCTGCTCCAGCCCTTCTGGGAAACGGAGGGCCGATAACGCCCATTTGGACACAGTCCCAGCTCTTTCTCCGAAACAGAGGCTTGTTAACTTTGTGGCTTTTATTCCGAATTGGCATCGCTCTGAGCCATTGTGCAGGGTATGGAGGTATGGAGGGAGTAGGACTGGAGAGGGAGGGCTGGAGGGGGGGCGGTGGCACTCCAGGGAAGAATAATATTAAATTAATAATGCTAATAATGCTAACAATGATAATAATAATAATAATAATAATAATAATAATAATAATAATAATAATAATAATAATGAACAGCCAGCTTTGCTGTCACACCCAAGCATCGTGGTGAGGAGGATGCCAGAGCCAGGTGAGCTGAGTCAGCATCCCTCAGGCCATGGTTGCATCTGCTGCCAGGGCCATGGGTGGGGGGCAAAGTGTAGGGTGAAGGGCTGCAGCCCCCTGGCTGCTGGGGATATCTCCTTGGCTGGGGACCAAACTTGCAGGAGCTGGACAGGGGGGGGCCTCAGCCATGACTCCTGGGTTGCTCCCCG